GGGCCCACACTACGCCAATGTTACAACATTATTTCATGTACGTTGTAGTGACTACAGGGTTTAATACTTGAGAGATAAGAAGATGTGCAACCGACCCCTAAGGCCATTCAGATTGAAGTCGACATGTCGCCTCACCAGCAGGCGACACGAAGCACAGAACTGCCTCCGAGCATAATGATAGGGGAATTATGCCCTATTCATTAAGCATCCACAAAAGTTCTGAGTGTCTACCGCACAGGGATGACTGCGGGAGAAGTAGGCTCCAGCGCAATATTAGCATTCTGTATGGATGTTGCTAACAGAGTATGACCATGTTGGAGGAACACTGTGAAGTTAGCTGTATTCAAGTGCTGTAAATTGGGCACCATATGGTGATCAATTTTAGCATCCTTGTCGAGCCTACTTTCTGTGTCCCTAGACCTTCTCCTGGGAATAACGAAAATGGTTTACCACCAAAAAAAGTGATATGATTTTATGAAAATATATCCATGAAAATCATTTACAAATTAATATATGTACATGTACAGTGTAGTAAGAAAAGGCTGAATATTATCTCGGCCCTTTTATTAGCAAAATATGACATCAACTGGCACTATACAATTTGTATACATTTATGTAAAAATGGTTCTTACAATACGGATTGTTAATGTACAATGTAGAATAAGTAATAATCTATTCCATGAATTGGGGCTACATTAAAACCAATTTTGCATTTTTTTTTTCTGCAGAATTTATGAAGCAATACATTGTATTTTTTTTCTATTGATAAATGAAAATTATGTTGGATGTTTATTATGGTTTTCAGTGATTTTCCACTATGTAAATAACCCGGGTAACTTTCTGGCAGACCATTTATCAGAAAAATGTTTTAAAGTAAAGAAAACATTGCTTGGGTAAAAAAAGGGTGATATTGCTTGGGTAAAAAAGGGTGATATTGCATTTAATTTATCCATGACATATTATGATTTTTCTTATTTCTTATACAAACAAAGTCAAACAAATATGATAGGGTATTCACATGTCAAAGGTGCCACCTTTTCCAAGTTTGGTCAGATAAAAGGGTGAAAATTGGTGTTTCAGCTTTAATACATGTGAAAGCATTCACATAATGTGTTTTTTTTTTTAAGGTGGTTTCGTGGTCTAGTTGATAAGTCACCGGACTGTGAACCAAAGCGCTACTGTCATTTGGCACAAGTTCTATCTAATTACTATCTACATTTGCCACATTCAGCCTTGGTGGGGTAAATACACTGTAGGTACCTGGCAGGAATTAATTCCTTGAAATGCCATAATGGGGGGGGGGGGGGGGGGGGGGGGGTAAGAGGACACTTTTCTTCATCTTTTTTTGGTCTCGAAATTTGAAAATTTGACATTTTGTTCCGTTAGACGGGGGGGGGGGGGTAAGGTCACCTTTTTTAGGTCAGCCATTGGCATAATTTTTTTTTTTTTAATATAACAAAAAAAAAAAAAAAAAACTCAAAAGGGGGGGGGGGTTCACAAAAAACATACACATACAAAAAAAATCAAGGGGGGTTTAACCACAAGACCCCCCCCGTGTACGCGTCTGCGTACATGTACCATAGAGTGCAATTTTAATAATCATCATTTTTTTTCTTCCCCTTACATTATCAACAACAAAAAAAGTGCACATGCAAGGAGTTCACTAAATTTAGCTTACTAAACAAATTATTATTATCGTAAAATAAGTATCAAACTGGCTAAGCAAAAACATTTGATACATGTACATGTATGCAGTATATTTGCTTTGCATGCATACTTTTTCTTTGCCATGTTGAAGGCCAAAATACAACATGTGATGAATTGGGTTACTAGGACAAGGAATCCCCCTTTTTTCCCATCAAAGACATCTTCAAATTATAATTTCAAGTGGTTGAATAGATGATAACCAGAGCTCAGGAGTCGGAAACAAATTGTAAGTGAAAATTTAAATAAGGTCTACTACTTCTTTAGATCTACATTTCTAAAAAAAGTGACCTAACCCGCTGTTTAAATCATTTTCTATGCAGGCTCCCAGTGTTTTTTGTACTGTACATGTAAATCGCACCTTCACTAATCATCATCAGGAACACGTGGAAGGAAAGCATATCACTCCAGTAGCAAAATCTCCTATTTTCTTTTAATTACTTGACCAATTTCAAGTTACATATACTTATACTTGGCCCCTGCGAAACTCCGAATCCTAGAGTGCAATGTTCGTCAGTCATGGGAATGGGAGATGGATTACAAACGCATTTTGGGTTTAGTTAAATCTTCACACAGCGGTATGGCCTGGGTGCCAATTAAGGCTTGGTGATATATTCTTCTTCTTCTTCTTCTTCTTCATCCGCTCTATCGGAGATCAGCAGCTACCAGGGTACTGCAGTTTGTCATAGCAGGCAGGATTGTCATGTCAGGTAGAAAGTGTATTAGCGATTGCATTAGCACGAGCAGAGTGGATATTTCATATTTCATATTTCATATTTCATATTTTCACCTAGCCCTTATTGAGGCTATATTTTGTACATGCAAACACGGCAAAGGTGGGTTTTTTTACAACTGTCAATCCCAACCTTATTCTTTTAATAAATACTATATCATCTAGCTAGTCAAGACCAAAAATTCAATTTATTTCGTAGATTCTCAGATTCTCTCTTCCAATTATACGACATTTTTAAAACACAAGTTCTCCAGAGATACATGTAGATTTTCTGTCTACCACGACCACGATCTACCATACATCATAATGTACGCTACGCCCTAGCAAAGTTCCAACCCACCAACCCATCGCTCGTCCCTCGAATTGCCTTGGCGCCCGCGCCGCCCGGCTCTAGCTCTTGCAGGCTCATAACCATCTTACCGGTGCCGCAGCTCGCACAAAACTGACTGCTGTCATGAAGAGAAATTCAAAAATCAGTAAGAATGGTTTACTACATACCCGGATCAAAATGATGGAGAACAGTTCTGGCACAGTTCTTTCAACAGCTTGTCAGAGATGTCTAGTACCTCAATGTCCTTCAACAGCTTTGAGTTTTGTCGGAAACCAACGACAACTCTGTGGTTTTTATTTCGGGATGCGGGATTTCTTCTCTATTCGCGAGCTTCCGGTATTTTTGTTAGTGGGTGGTTAATACAAACATTAACGCAGATGGCGCTAGATAATTTAAGTGACTCGGTAACATTGCCTCAGATTCCTGAACGAAATTCTGGATTTAGCTCATGCTGCAATCATAATTATAAACCTTTGGGTCAGTCGGGAATCCCATGACTTTTACAAACCGATCGCCTGTTTGATTATCAAGATATTGATGATTGGAAATCGAAATTTCACTTTCGTTTTCCTAACGGTTTTTATAACACTACAGTCGTGTGGGGAAAATGAATATGGTAAAACCGGTCACTCAAAGATTTTTACTTTTTCGAGGCACTTCATGATCAATATGAGGCGCATTTAAATATTACACGGGCCATGCATCTCAGATTTAACACTTTTATGTTTAACGATCCCTTTAAGACAAAAAGTTCGTAAATTTTGCTCTGACAGAAATACAGGGACACCAATAAAGAAATAGTATATAGTGAGAGAGAGAAGTCAATTGATTTTCAAATTTAAAGTTTATATTAAATATAGATAAACTTAGTTCATGATAATATTAAAAATTGACTAAATGTCATAAAGCGTCGTCTAACAATTTTCTTTAGGAAGTAGGAGGAGCCAGAATTATCGGTTTATCAAAAGTGGATTTATCTAAACTGGTGGGTTTTCTCATGGGAGCACATCTGGCCCGTTTGTTTGTTTTTGTTTTTAATCGGAATGTGTCCGTCTTAAACAACAAAATTGCTTGATAATCTCGAAGAAATTGTTTTCTTCGTAAAGATGAGTGTTTAAATAATTTGTTTTATGGTTTTTGTTGTCACTCAGCTTAAATGAGCTTGCTTTTTCTGTGTATGTCTTTGTCGGCCTATTTAATTTTCATTCATATGGCTTCATTGTTAGGAGTACATAATGCTAACAGGGATCTAAGAATTTGTTTTTATTTTTTTTAAGCAAACAAATAAGAAGCAGATTGGGGCAAATTCCTGGCCATGGCCATCCTTTTTAATTTGTGACCCCCGCAATCAGGGGCGGCGATTTCATTTCATGACCGGGACGAACTGCGAGGAACCAGTGGCGTAATGAGCAAAAACATATTCTTTGCCTGACTGTAAATTGGGGAATTTGTCATTTTCCAATAAACGCATACAAAACTATAATTTACAAAACTAGTGAGAAAAATCCCGAAAATCATGTTATTACAGCAACATTGTCATTTACATGTATATTGATATCGCTATAGGAGTTCAAATGGCAAATATCAGCCTGGTAAATATGGAATATGTTGAAGTGACTCTTAATCTTGTAAACATACTGTGTAAACTGTGCTTACGTGATACCAACGGAATACAGATTTCCTACAATATTTACTTGTACATTTTGGAGGATATCATGCACGGGACATTAGCGACCGAGGAAGAAGATTTTTGAATTTGTGTTAGTCTAAACGCTGCACTCTTGGGCCCTCCAGAGCCTAAAATAGTGTTGCAGTCTGTAGTCAGTAATTACTGTACTTTTTAGTTTGCACTTTTTCAAATTTTCCGGGGGGACGACCCCCCCCCCCCCCCCCCCCCCCCCCCCCCCCCCCCCCCCCCCCCGGGATCGCGATTGCGGGGGGGGTGGTAATTTCCTGATTTGTGAGTTTAGGCCTACATTTAAATGAAATGTTTACCATACGATTTGAGTTAGTATTTGATTAATGATTGAACGAACGAAATTCTGCATGGATATTGGGGCTCATTTTCATCTCGAACCCCCCCCCCCCCCCCCCCCCCCTCCCCCCTTCTCACACGGTGCAACCGTATTTTGGTCTACTGTATTACAATAACAGTGTGATAAGATAAGGGAAATCCCCTTCTGTAGCTAGGCGTGGCTTCTACACCAATGACGACATGTTTTGTCATGTCATTTCATGTCCTACGGCTACGTACGTGTGGAACGTCTTGATTCTTGAATGCAGGCGGAAAGCTAGCAATCAACGACAGATGGGGAAGTTTTTATTGACATTCGTGCGACAGTAAGTATTGCTGACTAATATCAATCTTCTTTGTATGTGCCTCGTGTCACATAACAAGCGTATTTCATATAGATTAATGGTGAGAAAGTTATTGTGTAGTCCCATGCGTGGTCTTCAATGTAAGTAATGCTGTACATTCAGGCCCGGCCCAAATTCACAAAGGAGGCCGGAGGTTTGTCGACAAACCTAGGTTTATGTCCGTCATATGATACGTTGCGACGCGTTTCAAACCAAGCAGGAGATTCACTCATAAAACAATTAAATGGGGGAATAACAAAATCGAAGTGCCATCAAGTTTAAATATGTGCAACTAATGCAGTTTTATTAGTGCTTCAAGCCTTTGCCAATATTTTCTCTGTTCGCTTGTGTGTGTTTGTTTCATTTAAAAAAAAAAATTTATTTGCTTTTCTTTTCCTTTGTTGTTCTTGTTTTTTTCTTGTCTTGATATTCTGATACAAGCAATTGGTCCTTGAAATCCATACATGTAACGTCCCAATTCAAGACACCATGTAATGAATTTTAATGTGAATGGCAAGCTATAATTTGTATGGTTAAAATCATTGAAGGATATGCCACTGAAAGTTTAAAATGTCACAACTGCATTGTTTAATGAAATAGTGTGTCTATCAACTTGTTTATGTTTATCAGAATTTCCCCCTTGGAGTGTGTTTTTTTAAACGCCTGTACACATTGTTGTTGTTCATTTAAATGTGTATTTTTGTGTACTTCTCCATAAGCGTCGAACACATTAGTCATGTAGAGTTGGCGCATTACAAATACTTGATATTATTATTATTATTATTTAATCGCCCAAAATCAGATTGAGGAAACACCAACAATTTTTTAATGTGTTTTTTTCCAGTACGGTAAATGGCAGTCCAAAAAATTGATGATTTTTTAAATCAGTGTTTGGGATGTTTAAATGGGCCTATCATGAAAAATGTCTTTTCTTTCTTCATCAGGAGTGGTGGGCGGAAATCCTCCGTGCTGGTCGGGCCAACCCAGTGCCAACTACCGTAACTATAGCAGAGTGTACAGAGTGTATAGTGTGGTTTTGCCCAGGGAATGTATACACGACCCTAGTGAGACCAGTGTTAGAATACGCAAGCTGTGCCTGGGACCCATACAGGATAGGGCAGATTAATAAACTGGATGCAGTTCAAAGGAGGGCGGCACGCTTCGTAACAGGAAACTACCAAAGGGACAGCAGTGTCACACAAATGCAGACCTGCCTTGAATGGGAATCACTTGAACGCAGGAGGGAAAAGAGTCGTTTGGTTATGCTGTACAAAATCTACAAGGGAAAGGTGGGCCTAAAGCAAGAGGACTACATACAAGTATCAACAGGGTCAAGGTTAAGAAGAAACCACCATCAATTAATAGAAATCCCCTTTGCCAGAAAGGACGTATACAAATACTCCTTTTTTCCAAGAACTGGACGAGCATGGAATACCCTCGACCAGCAGTCTGTAATAGCTACATCAGTTGATAATTTCAGAAACACACTCTAGCATGCATCACCTGCCATACAAGTTAGCGACATGCGGAATACCGCCCTGCTGACTCCAATTTCAGAAGGTTCAGAAGGTACATGTATGGGACAAAATACTTAGGACATTCCCAAATCAATTCAAATATTGTCTTTCTTATCTTTCTGCTTCAGTGGAGAGACTGAATACAACAAGAAAGGGTTACTTCAGGGTCAAATTGACATTCCACTCAACGAGACCGGACTGAAACAGGCCGATGCCCTTGGACGATACTTGGCAAAAGAAAGATTTGATCGAGTGTACTCGAGTGATTTGAGTCGGTGTGTACAGGTGAGAGTCTAAGGGTGTATTCAAGCGACGCTTTTTAACCCTAGAAACTCTGTTTTGAAAGATGTTTAGTTTAAAACACGGTTGTGTTCAAGCGATTTTGCTTTGGTCATAAAATTAAACATGAAAACCCTGAAAAATATGCGTTTTTTATCGTGATTAATTCTGCAGAATCACGGTCGCTAAAAATTGCTTGAACGAGCAGAGATCTCACTCATGATTCTATAACGTCATTATCGTGGCCTGCTTCCGGTTTGGCTGACAGTCGACTGTAAACAAATTCAGAGAGCACGCAACTTCAAGATTTTACGAAAGATAAATACTGTAATAAGTGAAACTAATATATCACCAACATCCTCTTTGATGGATAAATTTGAGGTTACTAATTCTAAGTTAATCTTCCAGTTGGTTTAATTTGAATCATATTACAGTGCGTCAGAAGAAAAAAAAGATGGCAATCACATTGATCTGATTTTATTAGCCCCCCCCCCCCCCCCCCCATCACAAGTGATGCCAAGTGATTGACATCAATCATTACATCTCAGATTTAAAAGAAAAAAGATATATTGCCGTAAGTTCATCTTCCAGTTTTGATAGCTTTAATATACCGTGTATTGGAAAAACAGGTCAAACACCATTGATCTGGGTCCTGTTTCCTAAAATTTGTTCTCAATATCGGTAATGCTAAATTTCTATGACAAATTAGCTCTCAGCCAATCGGATGCTACGATGTCAGTAGCTTACAACAGTTATTGTAACTTGTTATTGTAACAAACAGGGCCCCTACATTGAACCATTGATCTGATTTCCTTTACCCATTTATTTATGCTTTGAATTCTAGACGACTGAAGGCGTCATAAGAAATGCAACAGTCCCACGACCAAACATGGTCAAAGATGCAAGACTCAGAGAAAGGGTGAGTGAGGTTAAAGAGAAGGTTGAGTTCTGGGAAAAGTACTTATAAGTGTAACTTTACCTAGACTGGGCTAAATTTCTAAACATTTTGATGATTCCAAGACCTTGCAGTACACACCAATACTTATATTCTAAATGATCATTCTTTACTGATCGATTCCACAACGTTTCTTTCACAATGCAATCGCATGACCAGAACTCAACTTTATAATAATAATAATAATAATAATAATCTGTTTTTTTTATATAGCGCTCAATACACCGATCCAAAGATGTGCCTAAGCGCTTTACAGATATATTATTACCCTGGTCATCGGATTCAGGCTTACCCACACACAATGTGTGCACATTTTCCACTCCCTGGGGAGCATTCCAGCCAGTCGCCATTTTACAAGCGCACACTTGCTCGTTCAACCACATGAACGTTCGCATCCTACCGGGTACCCATTTAACACCTGGGTGGAGAGTAGCAAGTGCAGCTTAATATCTTGCCAAAGGATATAAGTGCAATGGCTCAGTGGTAGAGCAGTGGTCTCTTTATCAGGAGGTCCTAGGTTGGAAACCCAAGTCAATGCACCTGTGCCCTTTGGTTAAGGCATTAATCTGTTAATTAATTGATCATTAATACTGTGATAAAGTGTCAATTTAGATAATGTGCTTGCAGACTAATCTTTATGCTTGGTGAATAAATAAAACAAGGCATTGTTATAAATTTCTCTTTTATTTTCTTCCAGAGCTTTGGTGAAGGAGAAGGGCTGTCTAGAGAGGAGAGAGCAAGCAAGGGATCATTTGACCCAGAGGGCGCAGAAACACGCAAACAGGTGACCTTTGACCTTCTGTTCTAAAACCGAATGCCTCCAACTATGTGTACACACAACCACCATCCTTATACCAGGGGGGCGTTTCACAAAACTTGTCATCAGTGACAAATGACATTTTTTGTTATAAGCTACTGTAATCCTTGCTTCTGATTGGTTATCAGCAGATTTGTCACTGACTTTTGTCTTTTGTTTCACATGCATATTCACCTGTTCTACACATTTTTACATTAATAGCAGTGAAGGGATGTTCCTTTGTCTACCACAGCAATTGTTGAGGGTAGAATGAGGAACTCTATATTTTGTCCTCTTTCTTTGTCCGTCATGTATATAGTGTATCAATCATAGAACATGTCTACTGGGCTGCCTCCATGTTCAGAGTGCTAGGAATTATGTGAGAACCGCAACCCTACATTCGGAGGTATGCCTTTTTTCCAGTCAATGAATTTTGAAGGATTCTTTTGACCTATACTTTGCTCCATTGTTAAGTGGGGCATAATATTTATTAATTGGATGCAAAATTCATAATAAAGCGACATAATTTTTTTCCCCGGAAGAAAAATGTAGGAATTCCTAATAGTCCAAATATATTATACAACAATCAAATATTTGGATTGCATTCGCCTCCCACAATGTAGAAAGGAATTATTTTATAATGTATTGTAAGGATCAAGATATAAGAAGCCAAATTTAGTTTTTGTTTTGAGGATACCGTAGATTGACTGGAATTGTTGTACAAACGTAGCTAGGCTTGTCACATGGAAACTACAGATATGATATGATGTGGGCACGGATTCAAGGAAGGAAAACTTTGTTTTACCTACTAAACTACTACTATTATTGCTACTTTGTACATTCCGGTGTATGGAATTGATTGGAGTTCAGTTGAGTGTTAATAAACAAAGAACCATGAAATTACCACATTGTCTCAAGGATCATATGTAGATATCTCTACATTAGTAAAACAAAGTCGATTCTTCAACGGATACTGCATGGATGAAGGAATTCGACACGGCAAAGCCCCCGGGCGTGATACTCGCGAACACTGCACAAGTACTAAAGTCTCTGACGTGACGTGACACAGTGAGTAATTCAATGAAATGAAACTCAGAAGTGAAATCGGCTGAATGAAATGAAACTTTGAAGTGAAATCGGCTAGACTCTATAGCTCTACACGTTACTGCTGATTTGAAAGGAATGTTTATCAAGTAAATTGCAATTATGCTGGATGGGAATACTACTCCCAAATCCCCAGGTGGGAAAGATAAGGAACTGAGCAATGCCAATGGCAATGATATCGATCATGTCGTGAAAGATAAGGAACTGAGCAATGCCAGTGGCAATGATATTGATCATGTTGATGATAAGGAGAGTGGTGCAACAAGGAGCTTTACTAGAGAAAGAGATCTAGAGAATGGGAAAGAAGATCAAGATGACTCAGAATCCACATTGTCATTATGTGGATCATCGGCCTCTTCTGCCAGTACTGCAAAGAGGAGAGAAAGAGAGAGAAAGAAGGAAAGACAACTTAAAGCAAAGTTGATAGCCTTACATCAAACGAGTGAACTTGAGAAGAAACTGAGAACACTTCAAAAACAACATGAAATGGAACAAGCCGAACAAGAAATACGAATTGCAAAAGAAAAGGCTGAGAATTTGAGAAAGAGTCAGCTTTTGAAGGATGAAGAAGCGGAGATTGAAAGACAAAAGACTGCTATTCTCTTGCAAGCAGAATTGAAGCTTCTACAACAAGACTCAGAGGAAGAGCTACAGAAATGGAAAGTGGAAGGTGATTCTTTCCGTGATCGTGGACAAGAACGAGAACGAGTTAGAGATGATTTTGTCGGTGATCATGGACAAGAACGAGATCAAGTTAGAGGTGACTCTTTCCGTGATCGTGGACAAGAACGAGAACGAGTTAGAGATGATTTTGTCGGTGATCATGGACAAGAACGAGATCAAGTTAGAGGTGACTCTTTCCGTGATCGTGGACAAGAACGAGAACGAGTTAGAGATGATTTTGTCGGTGATCGTGGACAAGAACGAGATCAAGTTAGAGGTGACTCTTTCCGTGATCGTGGACAAGAACGAGTTAGAGGTGATTTTGTCGGTGGTCGTAGACAAGAACAAGAACAAGCCTTTCGCAAGGAACCTGTGAGCAATGAAGAAGGAGCCACCAAACAGATGCTTAGGGAGATGATTAGATTCACTGCAGAAAACAGTCTACCATCGCCAGATCTCGAGCCATTCAATGGGGATCCACTTGATTACCTTACCTTTATAAGGAATTTTGAATATGTGGTTGAAAAGAGAACTGATGAACCTTTCAGAAGACTAGAGCTTCTACTAAAATACACACGAGGAGAAGCGCATGAGCTTATTCGAGAATGCCCCCACATACAACCAAGTAAGAGGGCATATGAGACTGCCAAGTCCATGCTACACAGAGACTATGGAAAGCAGAGTAACATAATAAATGCATACAAGGAAAGGGCAATTGCCTGGGAGCAGATACGATCAGGAGATAGGCAAGGATTGCGAAAATTCGCAATATACCTCAATAATTGCTCACATGTTAGAGCAGCAGGGGACTTAGGAGGCATGGATAGTGCAAGTTTTCTGAGAGTTCTGGCAAGCAAACTACCCTTGTATCTCCAACAGAAGTGGATCTCACGAGTAGGCCTGACTCGTGATATTGCCAATAGGAATCCCACCCTGGACGACCTTGCACAGTTCGTCATACAGACTGAAAGAAACATTAACGATCCCATGGTACAGGGATTGGGATATCAGAGGACTGAGAAAAATGCTTCCTACAATAAAGATGAGAAAGAAAAACTACAAAAATCAAGAAGCACAAAGGCATTTGGTACAGCTACACAACAGGATAGGGAGCAGAAGGAAAAGAGGGAACCAAGTTGTACTTTCTGTGGCACCAACTCAAGGCATGTTATTGACGAGTGCCGAAAATTTGAAGCCTTGACAGTTGAAGAAAGATCAGAGCAATGTAAAAGGAAAGGCCTCTGCTTCCGATGCCTGAAACCAAAACATCTGAAAAAGGAATGCAAGAGTAAGATCAAGTGTGATGTCTGCGACAGGATGCACAACACTTTAATGCATGATCCCAGGTGGATGAAAGACGGAGAAGGAAATACAAGGAAAACCACCAATGATGCTTCAACATCTACCGATGTGCAAAGTGAAGCTGGAAGGATCTCTTCAGGGTCTACCAATGTGAAGAAAAGTGTTGGAGGAAAACCCCAGACATCGACGTGCATGACGATAGTTCCAGTCATCGTGAAGCACAAAGGAAATGACAGATGCATATCAACTTATGCATTCATAGATAATGGATGTGGAACAGTCTTCTGTGACACAGAACTTACCCAAAGGCTGCATGCAAGAACCAGGAAAACCAAGCTAATAGTCAAGACATTGAATCTTGAAGAAGTGATAGATACAGAAGTCACTGTAGATGAGCTGCAGATCGCAGGAGTAAAGGAGAAGGAATTCATCAATCTTCCGCCCATCTATGTCAAAGATGGTATACCAGTGACAGTTTCAGATGCTCCAACTCAAAAGGATCTGAAACGATGGAAACATCTGAAGGACATAGAATTGCCCGAAATAAGTAACAGCAACTCTATTCCAAGGGTAACTCTCATGATTGGAGCCAACGTTCCGTCAGCATCGATGCCTCTAGAAATCAAAGCTGGTGACATCGAGGAACCATATGCTATCCGCTCAAGGCTAGGTTGGCTCGTGTATGGTATACAAGCTCAAGAGCAAGCAGATATTCACAAAGTCTGTTTTTGTAAACAGGAGGAAGTTTCCATCATTCCTAGACAAGAGGAATTAGAACGGAAATTCAAAGACTTCTGCAATATGGAATTTACAGAGAGACTAAGTGATCACAGAGAGGGCCTGTCAGTTGACGACAAGAATTTCTTGGACATAATGGAGAAATCTATCACTAAGAAAGACAATCATTATCAGATAGATCTGCCCTTAAAGCAGAGAGATGTGGCTATGCCTAACAACAAGGACCAAGCTGAAAGATTTCTGGAAAGACAAGGACAGAAGTTATCAAAGAACAAGGAAATCCATGAACAGTACACCACATTCATGAATGATCTGGAAAAGCAAGGCTATGCAGAGAAGGTTCCAGAAGCAGACTTGGACAGACATGATGGGAAGGTATGGTATATCCCTCACCATGGGGTGTATCATCCCCAAAAGCCAGGAAAGATTAGAGTAGTCTTCAATTGTCCTATCAGCTACAAAGGAAAGTCTCTTAATCAGGAACTCCTACAAGGACCAGATCTAACCAACAGATTACTTGGTGTTCTCCTCAGATGGAGGAAAGAGAAAGTGGCTATAATGGCAGATATACAGTCTATGTTCTATCAGGTGAAAGTTACACCAGACCAATGCGACATGCTGCGTTACTTGTGGTGGCCTGAGGGGGATATCACCAAAGAGCCAGTAGCCTACAGAATGCTAGTCCATCTTTTTGGGGCTACATCTTCTCCCAGTTGTTCGAATTATGCCCTGAAAAGAACAGCAAAGGACAATGAAGGTTGTGCAAAGGAAGAAGTCCTAGATGCCATACAGAAAGACTTTTACGTTGATGATTTTCTGAAGTCAGTATCAACACCCCAAGAAGGCATTGATCTAGCTGAATCATTAAGACAAGTGTTGTCCAAGGGAGGCTTCAAGTTAACCAAATGGTCAAGCAACAGACGAGAGGTCTTGGATTCCATTCCAAAGGAGGAACATGCCGTTGAATTGAAGGATTTGGACTTACAAAGGGAAGTTCTTCCAACTGAACGAGCTCTTGGTGTAAGATGGGATCCAGAAAATGACCAGTTAGGCTTCAAATTGAAAGAAATGTCAAGAAAGGCTACTCGCCGAAACATCCTATCAGTAATGAGCTCAGTCTATGATCCCTTCGGGCTAGCAGCACCATTCGTTCTGAAGGCTAAGATAATTCTGCAAGAATT